AGAGTTGTATTAATAGCCTTAGCTTTCTTTGTCCAGGAAGGAGAATAAGACAATCTTCTTGTGAAGCGATTCTTTTGGGTCAGTCTTATAATTTTTTTTTTTCACTCATTCATTGCTCTGATAAAAACCTTTAAAATTTTTTTCTTTAAAATTGCATATCTCAGTATTAGTGGAATTATTCCATGTTTCTTTTGATCATGAGTTTTATTTTTTTCATTTGGTTGTAGAATTGAGGATTGATTCCAAGTCTTAGTACATCTTCAGTTCTTTGGAAAATTACTTTTGATTTGGAGACATTGTCTTCCTAAGTTGTTAAGTTGCCGAGGCTGGGCTGGCTCCAACTTCTGACCCTCCTGTGTCAGCCTCCAGAGGGCTGAGATTATAGGCAAAAGTGTGAGTTTAACATTGCTTACTACCACATTGTACCCTGACAGCACCGTGAAGGTTCATGTTCTCTCTTTTTATGTTCTGTGTTTCAGAAGTCTTTGCGGTTGTTCTTACACAGAGGTACTCGCTTGAGGGGTGAATTCTTGATTCTTCATGCAGTTATGGATTTGGATAAACCATCTGTTTGGGGCTCATTAAAACAGCGGACCAGGCCATTGCTAATGAACTTGAGCAAGAAGAAGATGAAGAAGAACACAAACAAACTCTTAGACCTGCGGGCCAGGCATCACCTGGACCGGCGGCTCAGCCTGTCTGTACCTGACCTTCTGGAGGCTGAAGCCTTGGTTCCTGAAGGCCACCCTTACACGGGACCCCAGTCCTCCTACACCTCAGTGCCCAACAGCCTGTCCACAGCAGGGATCGTGCCCAAGAGTAGCAGCAGCTCCTTGAAACAGTCTGAAGAAGAACTGGATTGGAGCCAGGAGGAAACAAGCCAGCTGCATGCAGTGGATACGGACTCAGAGGAGATCTACACCTCTCTCACGGAGGAGACCTGGACCTCCAGCCAGGGCCTCTCGGATCCCCAGAGAGCTCCTCTGGGAGTGGATGTGCCTGAAGAGCCAGAGGTGAGACCAGGACTTACCTTGTTCTGTTTCATTTCATTTCTCTCTCTCTCTCTCTCTCTCTCTCTCTCTCTCTCTCTCTCTCTCTCTCTGTTTTTGTCTGTCTCTTTCTAATTGTTCTAAAGTGCTTTCAGTGTCCTTGAAAACTTCAGCTAGGAGTTATGTATGTGGTTAACTTGGATGGAGAGAGCATCATTTACAAGAATTTAAATTAATGTACTATTGATTTCACCCAGTGTTCCCATTAGTTTAGGATTGACCTCTATGTATTTAAAAAACAATCACAAACAGTCTTTCTAGGATACTGTAAAACATTAAAAGCACTATGGAATGAAATTTTGTTGTTACCTCCTGGAAAGCAAATGAAGAACATAACTTTTCTTTTAGCATTTTTTTCAATCTGTCTGTTTTTCCCTCATTAAATCATTTTCCAGACACACTTAGTGATAAGCCCTGCATATTATTATTTCTAAGAGACGGAGGCAGCTGTTTCTTCCCTGGACTGCCAGAAGGCTGCTTTCTCCTCCTCTGTGCCTGTGTACGCTCACACATGCAAGTGCTTCCGGGTGAGCAACTCCACTGGCATTAACTGAAGAAAAGACAGAAGTAGCTAAATTTTTGTTGATTCAATGATTTTAACAAAACTTTAGTATATTCACTCAAATATAATTGTAATGCAAATCTAGTATTTCTGAGAGTTTGTCTGCGTAACAATCTTTTTTTTTTTTTTTTTTTTTTTTTTGTATTTTAAGAAAGAGTCTACAGGATGTTCCGGGTCTTCCTACTAGATCAGACTCATAGTGATTCACCTGTTTACAGCCTCCCAAAAGCTGAGATTACAGGCATATACCACAATGCCCAGTCTCAATTGCCCTCTCAGCACACCCCAAGGGGCCAGCCATATGGCTGGCCCTGGGATTGGTCTCCCAGCCTCTGCGCCTGCTTGCAGGCTTTTTAATCTGCTGAGCTATTTGGCCGGTCCAACAATCATATTTGAATGTTGAATTTAAGCAGTTTTGAAATAATTCCTCCACTAATGGCACTGAAGTAGTTTCCTGTGTTGACACACAGGGTTTGTTTTTGTTTCAGGTGAATGTTAAAATTGCTTACAAAATTGGTTATTCCTGTGGAATGTTTGGCTTTAGAATGAAAGCCTATGAATTGTGTAACCTACTTGGGGGATGGATTCATGGCTATTTGGAGCAAGTTGTGAGCTTATGCTTTTGTCCATGTTGCTGAGTCACAATACCATTACCCAGGAAAGGACTTAAATATTTTCTCCTTGGACACTAACATTTATGGAACAATTTTATTAAAATTTTATATTTCCTGTTGCTTGTAAATTTGAAGTCTGTGTTTCTCTTAGAAACTTCTCTCACAGCTGAGACAGAATACCTGATACACTCAAGTTAAAGGAGGAGAGCTTTGTTTTATTTCACAGTTTGTAGAAGTTTCAGTCCAAGGTCTGCTGGCTCCAAGTAGGGTGGCGTGGAAGAGGGGCATCAGAGAGGAGAAGCAGTCCATGGTAGGGTAGGCACAAAGCACGAAGCAACAGCAGCTTGCCTTCCATCTCTCCCATTCTATGCTTTCCAGGCTAGACTCGTATTGGTTGGTGCCAGCCACACCCAGGGTGGGCCACCTACTATCCACACCCAGAACTCTGCTAATCCAAGTTAGTTATCACACACCCTTAATCCTAGTATCACACACCTTAGATCAAACCACTCTGAAAAGCCCCATGAGTCTTTGCAAACACAAGTAGATGCAAGCCATAATAGTGTCTTCACTGAACAAAATAGGTTTTAGTTGGATTAAGAACTACCTGAGTAGGAGAGGGCAGCGTATTATCCATCCAGCAGGACTGAGGGCATTTCTTGGCTTTAATGTACTGATACTTCCAAAGTTGAACATTTTAAACAGGCTGCTATTAAATTTTTTGTACTTGTTTCCTATTTGCTATCAACCAGGCACTATAAGGATTGCTATGAAGCAGAGAGATTGGTAAGGAGCACCACGCCCCCCAGGCTAGGAACAATGAGGCCAACTTTGCACGCCTCTGAGCAGAGCATGAGAGGCAGGTGGGTGGAGGAGCTGCCCCGGAAGACTAAGCCTGGCCCCTGGGCAGTGCAGCGGAGGGCGAGAGTTGTAGGTGTGGGGGCTGAGGGTATGCCTTATGTGAGGCAGGATGCAAGCTGACACAGAGGGTGATAATGTATATGCCAGATAAGGAAATGCAATTGCCACAAACCTGAGGTGTCACAGAGTGGAGCAGAGGCTGAAGAGGGGCAGAGTGGGCTGCGCTGAGGAATCACCGTGGACTCTGATGGCAAACGCTGGCTAGTTGGTGGCGGAGGCCATATCTTCTTCTAGAATCTAAGAGCAGGGAGCCCAGGAGAAGCTGAGTCCTTCAGCATTAGAATATTCTAGGTCACTCAATATTCTCTTTTTATCTGCACATTATATTTTAACTGTCACTCTTGGGGAAAAAAAAAAAATCCTTCTCTTTTCTTGTCAAGAAATACAAGATAGAGCTGAAGGCTCTTCTTCCCATGCTCGAAGGTCCCACCGCTTGGATGGTAGGCACAGTGGCTTGTTTACACGGGACCCAAAGGCTCGGAGGCATCTTCTCTGATTCCAGTGAGCTAGCAGTCAGACACCACCTTCTGCCCTCTCTGATCCCTCTTCTCCTCCCCCTCTCCACCCTAGTCCTGCCTGTGCTAGCTGAGCCCCTCTAGCTTCCTGAGAGATCCACAATGTATCATACCCTTCAGAGCAATGACTGCCTTTCTTTTCTTCGCCACTAGGTTGGATTAATGTAGGGAGGAGGTAGGGCTGATTGCCTTTCTTTTCCAGTGGCTGAACCTGCTGGGTAGTCCTTTCTCAAACAATATTTGTTCAATAGAAAAATAAGTGTAGATATCCTCAGATTAAGTGTGTGTGTGTGTGTGTGTGTGTGTGTGTGTCGCACACACCTGTGTATATGTATGCTTGATTCTGGCATCTAATGCAGAGGTTCACACATGCTAGACTATTACTCTACCACTGGACTATATCCCCAGGGCTTTTGTTTGTGTTTTTACCATGAATTCTCTTTATGATTTAACTGTATCAATTTAAAACTTGTATCCTAAATGAAAGCCCTTTTAAAATGATGTTAACTGAAACTGTACAGAAGTTCAGGCAAATGTAGATTTTTTTCCAGCTACTAATTTTAAATTTGAATCAATCTTCTGGTGTTTTAAGTGGAGACAGAAGTGCATTTGGTTCTCTTCATCTGAGAGTCCTGGAATCAGATTGTCTGTGTCTGGGATCTGGCGCATCTGTTTCTTCCTCAAGAATAGCTGGCAGCTTTCTGTGACATTTCAGGGCTGGGGACAAGGTGCACAGGAGGAAGGGCTGACACGTGACCACCTGGTGCTCAGCCAGAACAGGCGGAGTCTTGCCAGCTTCTCCTGGTGTGGCTGTGGCTCACGTGTGCAGCGTTCCTGAGACTGCAAGGCAGGAAACAGCAGTGGTCTGCAGGACGCCCTTGTGTGGGGAGCTGGTCCCACCTGGTGTGTCAGGCTGAGCCTGCAGCAGTGGGGAGGGACCCTGAACATAGGCCATGTCTTAATCCCATAATCTCTCCCCAGTCTTGCCCGTGACAGTGAAGAGGAGGACTGTCAATTTCCAGTTATAGGAAAGAGGATTGAGGAGACAGGAGTGAAAAGGGAAGCTTAGCAGACATGAAGATGGGGCGTGAGGTGGCAAAGGTAGCCTGGCCTCCAACAGTCAGTCAGGTGTTCAGAGAACCACAAAACCCGAGTGAGAGGAAGAAGACTTGGAAAAAAGCACGTGCTGGTTAGGAGGCTTCTGCAAGACTCCTTCCTGAGCCTGAGATTCATGCTGTGCTGGCCATCAGATGTCTCAAGGAATTGTGGCCTCAACGTGTTGTGACAGAACTCGCCATCTTCCTGAAAGGCTACAAACGCTGCCCGTCATTTCTCATTCCCGTCAGTATTACTCACCTAGCTGCCCAAGGCAGAAACCGGTGAGCTTTGCTAAATTGGTTTTCTTCCCTAGTTTTTCACACTCCAGGAGGGCTTCATGATCCGTCTGGCTCTCTACCTCGGATGCCCTCGGATGGGAGTCCTGCTCCTGCTTCAGGGCCCGAGTGAGGTCTCCTTCTCAGTGGTCCCACTCAGCAGTCAGGGCTCCCACCTGCCCTCCTCTGTACCGTGCTGCTGTCGCTGAGCCATGACTTCAGTCTGCTTTGTGCAGAAGGCTGAGGGAGAGGAAGCAATTAGGGCAGACAGAAGAGGTGAGATGGATGGCACGCTGGTACTGGGTGAGGCTGCTTGCCTCGGAGAAGGTCATCAGACCCAGGCAGCAGCCCTGAAGCTCTGAAGACTGACTCAGAATAACCAAATGATCATGCAGCGGAGCTGCCAAGTGCAAGCCCAACTGTCTCCATGAGTATAAAATGCCCTGAGGTGTTATACTTCTTTAGATGTAAATGGCTCATCCTTCGGTCCTGTCAGATCATGTGACATGTTGACCTCTTAAGGTGACTCTATGTTTGAGCTTTGGTGAATGTAGACTGGCTGCTAGGGATCTGATCACACCCCTCTCCTATTCTTATGTGGAAACCCAAACCCCCCACATCACTGTATTGGATTTATGGCCTTTCAGAGATTATTTTTATATTTATGTATTTATTTTTGTGTGGTACCAGGAATCAAACTTGGGACCTTGTACATTCCAGACAGTCACGTAGGCCACTGAGCTATCTCGCTAGTCCAAGATAATTCAGCTTAAATGAGTTTACAATCATGCAGCATTGATCGAGTGGAACTGTATTTATGAAAATGGAGGGGAGCCAAGAGATCTATTTCCCTGCCAGGTGGGGGCATATTTAAAAAGCCATCTTCTATAAAAGGCAGGAAATGAGCATTTTTGAGGAAGCAATTGGTCAGGACCTTGAGCTTGGCCTTCTAGCCTTGAGAATGGTGAGAAACACATTT